TGACACACTTCTGGTGATGTCAGGGGGTGTGGCATATGCTAATGAGTGATGCTAATGAGTTCCCCTAGCTCTTTTACTACGAAACGACCCCTGGGGAAACGACAGAAAATGGCACCTACCTTGCTGCAGCGATACGGGATTGCAGGTTTAATGTACGTTAGGGGGACTAACTCGATGGAGCCCAAGGCGGAGGAAATGTTGATAACGGCGGCCCTGCTGCAGCTCAGCCCTTTCTCTGAGCTTCCTTGGGCTGCCCTCCTTAACAGAGGCAGGAAAGCCTGGAAAGGGGGGGGGGACAGAAAGATCACGTGAGTGGCCAGGGGAGGGTCCAGGGCACCCACTCCTGCTGGCATCCGGTTGCTACAATCACAGTTTAACTCAGCATGGCGCCTCGGGGAACGTTCCATACTGAGGCAGAATTACCAATCTCAGAATGTTTCAGTCCAACAATCAGGGCAGATCTTGTAAGCTATGCAGAGTCGGCTCTTCTTCCGGTTCGTGCTTGGATGGGAGACCGCCCAGGAAGCCCAGGGTTGCTACGCAGAGGCAGGCAATGGCAAATGGCCTCTGTTCATCTCTTGCCTTGAAAACCCTACGGGGCTGCTGTACATTGGCTGCAACCTGATAGCACTTTCCACCACCATATGATTCCCAGTCATCCTGAACGCACCATCCATGTTCACCTCTTGCCTTGAAAGTCCTACAGGGTTACCATAAATCAGCAGCGACTTGATGGCCCTCCCCACCAGCCTGTAGCTGGAGAACAAAATTAGAGTTCTGGTAGTGCCTAAAAGGCCAACAAAAATCTCCAGGGTACAAGCTTTCACGGGTCAAAGACCACATTCCCCAAACTTCTTTCAGCTGCTATCAAGTTTGGAATTAATACGAAAACTGAGAAGAAGAAGAAGAATGAGGAAACAAGGTGAAGAAGGACCTAGCTTCCTCATTCTTCTTCCTATCCCCCTAATCCAAATCCTGCATAAAGCACAGGTATTTCCCACTGGAATAAAGTGTCTCAGACTGTACAATCTGGCGCTGTTTATGCTGGGTGCTGCAACGGAAGAATCTAGGAGAGGAAGAGGGGTGGTGTGGCCTGCTGACCCAGGGCCTTGCTGGTAACCTTCTGCAGGGTTCAGACAGCAGCTCTATCATCTCTAATGCTATGCTAATGCCTCCCCATCAGATTAGGTATCCAGGGCTATTTTTGGGCAGGAACGCACAGGAACGGAGTTCCGGCTGGCTCCTGAGTTGGCCACGCCCAGCAGGAATTCATTAGCACAATAGGCCACACCTAACAGCAGAAACTCATTAGGATTGGCTACGTTAGGGGTGTGTGGCCTAACATGCAAAGAAGTTCCTGCTACAAAAGAAGCACAGGGTTTTGACAACAAACAAAGTAAACAGAATAAGAAGCAAAAGGTGGGTGTGGTAACATGGGGGTGTGGCTTAATATGCTAATGGGTTTCTGCTGTTGGGTGTGGCCTATTATGCTAATGAGTTCCTGCTGGGCTTTTTCTACAAAAAAGCCCTGTAGGTATCTATGGAGAGTTCTCCCTTGGGCTCAGGGTCCACGGTGCCAAGGGCACTCTCCGAGGAGGGGCACCTCTCTCTTCCTATTGATTTAGGAAATCAGCATGCCTCCTCTCCGGCTGGAGGCGACAAATTAAACAAAACCAATCAACGCAACGAAAAAACATTTCCATAAAACAAATCACACAACAAAACAAGTCAAGCCAAGAGCCAACCCAAGAGAATAAATAAAGTGAAAGCAAGAAGCCATTAAAGAAAAAAACCATGCCAACAAAAACATGCCAAACCGATTAAAAAGGGCCAGGGCATAAAATCAAACAGAGCCATCTAAGATGACATTAATAAAATGGGGTCTGAGGCCAGGAGCAGACCATAAAACAACTAAAAAGAAGCGCCTTAGTTCAAAGCCTGCCTAACGAGAAAGGTTATGGCCTGAAAGGAAGGCAGGTTTCAGACAAGTCTCAATTGGGAGGTCATTCCAGAGGCAAGGTAAAGGTTCCCTTGCTCGAAAGCCAGTCGAATCCAACTCTAGGGTTGCAGTGCTCATCTCCGTTTCAAAGCCGAAGAGCCAGCGCTGTCCGAAGACATTTCCGTGGTCATGTGGCCGGCATGACTAAACACCAAGGCGCACGGAACGCTGTTACCTTCCCACCGAAGTGGTACCTATTTATCTACTTGCAATTTCTTGATTTCGAACTGCTAGGTTGGCAGGAGCTGGAACTAGAGACGGGAGCTCACTCCCGTCATGCGGCGCACTCGGGTCTCGCATGGCTGAACTACCGACCTTCCACAGCCTGCAGTTCAGCGTCTTAACCACTTGAGCCACCGCAGCTCCTAAAGGCAAGGTGCCACCACCCAAAAAGCCCTGTCTCTGCTCACCACCTTTGAAGGTGAGCAGGTGCAGAGAGCAGAGCTTGAGAGGAAGGTCTTTATTGGCAGGGAGGGCAATACAATAGCTGCACTTGGCTCCTAGGATTCTTTTTCCATGGCATTTGAGACCAGGTAAATAGAAGTCGGAGATGTTCTGCTAGTCCAGCTGGCCAAAGCTTCTCTTTGCATGGACGTACTGCAGTCCATGCCTGTTCTGATCTCCTGTGCCCAACACAGCCATACCTGACTCACTAGCAGTGGCCCAATCACGTTGGTCCTGTATCCATTTATCATGTCTTCCTCATCCACCGCATCCAATGCCACCTCTTTATAAATGCCAGCGTTGTTTATTAGCAGATTCAGCCCCGACCCCTTCAGGTGGTTCTCCACACATGCTGCAGCATCCTTAATGCTTGCGGAACTCGTAGCATCTGCAAAGACAGAAGTGGAAGAAATGGGTGACAGTGTGGAAGGGTTTTGGGGTACGGGGAGCAACGGGGACAGTCCTAACCTTGCTTGCTCAAGCCTTCAGCAACAAGAGAATGAAGGTCACAGCTTCAAGGTGCCTTTGGGAGACATCCTTCCTTGAGAGGATCCTGCCCCTAACAAGCTGAGTCAGTCCTGGGCTTGGTCCTGGGCTGGCCAAGATTAGCGTAGGATAACCTTTCAAATCAGTCTGCAAAATTGGTGGTGGAAAGTGCCGTCAAGTTGCAGCTGACTTATGGCAACCTCACAGGGTTTTCAAGGCAGAAGATGAACAGAGGTGGTTGGCCATGGCCTGCCTCTGCATAGCAAACCCTAGACTTCCCTGGTGGTTTCCCGTCCAAGTACTAACCAGGGCCGACCCTGCTTAGCTTCTGAGATCTGACGAGATTGGGCCAGCTAGGTCAGGGCCTGCAAAAGTGACTGGCCCTTAAAAATGCTATTAAACCCAAACGCTCAGATGTTATCCAAGTTAGTCATTACCCTGACCTGGACAGACTGGGCTAGCCCGATCCCATCAGATCACGGAAGCTAAGCAGGGTCAGCCTTGGCTAGTATTTGAATGGGCGACCTCCAAGGAATACCAGGGCCATGATGCAGAGGCAGGCAATGGCAAACCACCTCTGAAACATCTCTTGCCTTAAAGAAACAAGTCTAGCTCACCACCTAGTGGTGCATAATGCTAAAAGAGCTAGAACTTCTGGCTGCCAGACAGTCTTAGGATCTCCTAGCTATACTGCCATGCGATAATTATTATAATTAATTATCAGAAATTTACAATGAGTGGTCTCTAACTTAAGGTGGTAATGGCGGCGGTAGTCGAGGCGGTGAGCGGGGAAAAAAAGGAGATGCGACATCTAGCGGTGAACCAGCGGCGAAGGCGGAGCCCGGAAGGCGTGAGGACACTCGGCGCAGGCGCGGCAGAGCCTGAGGGACGGAGCCAGTGCTGCGCCGATGCGATCAGCACGATGAATGGGCCCACCGACTCCAAAAGCTCTCCCGAGGAGCCTGAAGAGAGCGGAGGGAAGATGCCGACCTGAAGCCGAGAAGCCGAGACGAGCTGAAGACTCGTCAACTGAATCCCACCGGGTGCCGTTAGGTAGTCCCGCCCCTAATACGATATATATATATGTGCCCATAGATAGGGATAATACAAACTATGTAAGCCGCTCAGAGACCCATGGGAGGGGTTCGAGCGGGGTAGAAGTTGAAGGTAAAATAAAATAAATAAATAAATAAAGGCTGTTGCCATCATTTCAGGAGGTAGTTGCTCTCAGGTACACAAAGAAACTGGGTCATCACAACCAGAGGGCCAGAGAACAGTGCAAATTTGACATACTTCATTCCAATCTTGTCCTGCCAACCTCACCCTGACCTCTAGGTCCCACCACTGCAAAACAGGTCCACACACTAGCAGCACCTGAAGGGGGAAGCAAGTGCGGACTGAAGGTGGCTAAAGCTCATAGCTGAATGCCCTTTGTAGGAAGAAACTCCCCTGCAAAATAGCAAAGGCCCCATCTTAGCCGAAACAGAAAAGGCTGACGAAACAGGGCCAAAGGCTTTAGAAATCCCTAGTCTGTTTCAGTCCAGTCTTTGGGGAGCAGAGGAAATGGACGGGAGAGTTTACAACAAAAAGAGTCCTAAGGTCCATGGCACGAAGGATAAAAGAACGAGAAAGGACATACCTAACTTCACCATCACAACGTTTGGGTGTTTGGAAACCAGATTCTTGAGTTCCTGAAAAGACAGAGACAACGGGTAAGAAAGAATAACTGAACGATAAATGACAAGGTAAAATTACATCTTGTTTAGACCAACGTCAGGCTGCTCGTGAAATATGCAAGCTTTTAGGTCACACAGAACTCTTCAGCTAGAAGATTTCACCCCCTCCCTAGTAAGGTCTGTGAAACTAACACCAGCCTGCTAGCAACTATTCATCTGCTTACATTTATCTTATTTGTTTTATTTATTTATTTTTTAAATATGCTCATGTGTGCGTGCGTGTGAGTGTGTGTGCACCTGGAAATTATGGCGGCCACTGGTGACTGACCCCTACTGGGGGGCTGGAGGATATTCAGAGAGGTGGCTGAATGAAGCCTGCCCCCGCCTCCCGACTGCTGGTATTCCAAGGAGCTCTCCCATCCAAGTACTTGCCAGAGTCGACCCTGCTTAGCTTCTGAGATATGACAAGATCGGGCTTGCCTGGGCTATCCAGGACAGGGCTTTATTTATTAAATTTGATTTTAGACTGCCCTCCCCCAGAAGGGCCGGGTTCAGGGGGCTGTAGAATATAATCTCATATGAACATTATTAAAAACACTTAAAACCTAAAAAACACACAGTAGTACCAAGAGATGATGTTAACATTTCCTGGTGGTGTCACTCACTGGCCTCAAGGGAAGGCAGGGGGTGGGAGTGCCAGACAGATGGAAAACGGTCTCTGTCCTCAACCAGTGCCTGGCGGAACATCTCTGCCTTACAGGCCCTGCGGAACAGTATCAGGTCTCACAGGGCACGGATGTTATGTGGCAGAGAGTCCCACTAGGTTGGAGCCAGGGCAGAAAACGCCCTGGTTCTGGTTGAGGACAGCTGGATAGCTCTTGGGCAGGAGACCAGCAGCAGATTTTGACCTGCTGAGTGCAGTGCTCTCCTGGTGGTATACCAGGAGAAGTGGTCCTGAAGAGATGTAGGTCCCAGACCGTTACGGGCCTTAAAGGTCCATACCAGAACCTTGAACTTGATCCTATACTTCACTGGAAGCCAGTGCAGCTGTACGTGGAGTCCCTGTGAGGACCCGCGCAGCCGCATTCTGTACAAGTTGGAGTTCCAGGTCAGCCTCAAGGGTAGGCCCACGTAGAGCAAGTTACAGTAATCCAGTCTGGAGGTAACCGATGCGTGGATTACTGTGGCTAGATTGGGGTGAGACTGCTGGCTGGCCATCCCTCGGGGCCTCAAAATGGTTTGCAACTTTTAAAACCACCGTCTTCATGTTTTCTTCTCCCTGCCTCTATTCCTTCTGGCTCTGCTGTATTCCAGCCCTCGGTCACCAATTTGTAAAGAGAGCCTACACAATTATCCTCTCAACTCTGAAATACTGAAAATGTGAAGAAGAGCATACATTTTTTTTCTCAGACCTCCCTTGGAGACAGAAAAATTATGTTATAGAGCTTTTCTACAGGACTATTAATTTCTTTCAAATCAGGAGTTCTAGATCCAAGTTTTAATGACTTGATTAAGCTTCCACTAAATCCTCTCCCCTCATAAACCTGTTGCCATGGGTAGAAACTTTTTAAATAAGTCTACATCTAAAGTGTACATTCAAATGAAAACATATTTGTACCTTTTGGGATACTGAACTAAAAAAATCAAGATATGGGGGAAGGAAGGCAGCTGAAACAGTCTGTGGAAGAAATCCTCTTTTATTTCCCAGGGAAAAAGGGGGAAATTTGGCTACAGAAGGCAACACATCTGAAAAATTCCTTTGGCTGTTCCCCAACACGTTTTCTTAATTTAATTCTGATGATTGCCAAGTAGAGTTTAAGAAAAAACTGGACTGAGAGCAGTTATTAAAGATATTTTTCTGCTGTCTGAAGCTGGTTCCAGCAGTAGGTTAAAGTGGAATGATTAATATGAAATTTATTTTTCTAATCTCAGCGTTTGCCCCAAAGGCGTGTATTGTATTTGCCTGCAGTTTCAGCCAAAGCCTTCAGCCATTCCAGATGGTCACAGAACTGGTGGAAACTGAGGCCACGATCCTCAATATCTGATTTGAGCACAACAGACCAATTTCATCTCCCTCCGCTTCCTGCTCGATATTATTCCCAATCCAGTGAATTTCTTAAAAAATAACGTTTTTACTGGTGGCCAAAGTATTTGAGCTTCAGTTTCATTATCTGGCCTTCCAGGGAACAGTCAGGGTTGATTTCTTTTAGGATTGACTGATTTGATCTTCTTGCAGTCCAAGGGACTCTCAAGAGTCTTCTCCAGCACCATAGTTCAAAAGAATCTATTCTTCGGCGCTCGGCCTTCCTTATAGTCCAACTCTCGCAGCCATACATGACTACTGGGAATACCATTGCTTTGACCATGCGGACTTTTGTTGGCAGGGTGATGTCTCTACTTTTTGTCATGCTGTTTAGGTTCGCCCCTGATGCTGGGAAAGATTGAAGGTCAAAGAAGACGGGGACGGCAAAGGATGAGATGGTTGGACAGTGTCATCGACGCAACGAACATGAAATTGAG